ATTGTAATTAGTTTAGTTTTATTTCCTTAGTATAAATAGTCTTTTCTTTGTAATTGTAATTACACAATTAATTACGTCATTAATCAGAAAAGGTGATTTGACAGCAAAGTAATTCTCTCTCTCCAATCTATCTTACATTCATCTTTGTTCTTGAGATTTGATGAAGATTACTTCAAGATTCGTATGAAATCTGGACTTTTCATAACTATTTAAAAATTATTGTTGTTTTGTGTAATTTCTTTAATTCAATATTTTTAATGATAATTTAATTTAGGATTAATAAGAAAGTAATTTATTTTTGGTTTGATAATATAATTTTTTATAAAGATAATAATTAAGTATTTTGTTAGAACTCAATAATTATCCTTATTGTATTTTAAATTTTTTATATTTAAAATTAGATGTTTATCCTATATTTGATTATGTTTATCTGTAGTTAGTTACACGAATTCGAATATGGAGCTTTAATAAGTTGTACTTACGTGCAATTTATTTACAATCTTGAATTTTAAGTAATGTGCATCAATAAACAATACTTCATGCATTAAAAAAATAATTTTTAAAAGTTTTTGTCAAATGCTTTATAATATAGTATAAATAGATAGCGAATAAGAACATCCTTGTTTTACGAAAATGAGAGAAAATTATTATAACCTATAATTAAAGTTAAAACAAAGGAAAGTAAATAATTAAGAATAATAATGTGGTTTCGTATTTATTTGTAATCTCGGTAATTAACTTAATTATCTGTAAAATTATGTATAGACAACATACTCACTAATCACAATGTATCACATGTGATAAGTATGTTGGTTATGCATTCAGAATTGTTAAGAACAAAATGAAATCATTACCATAATATTATTACAACAAAATCGCATAGACTTATCAAAGCATTATTACATTATAAATCATAGCAAAATCATACCATCATCACATCATTATCGAAAACAGGTGGAATGGCATAAAAAGTCTACGAATAAAAGTTAAGGAATAAATACAAATATAATATAATAGATAATTGTTGATAAATACAATTTTCCTTTTTATTGATTACTATTATGGGTTACTTGGTTTGGAGGCTAATTTTTATAAAACAGGGATGTTTAATTTTAAACCACCACGTAGACAAAGTATACCTCATCCAAGCATAAGATTTACACACATCTTTCTTTTCCCCTGTAAATATGGATCTTTCTTATAAATTATATATATGCGCGAAAATGATCTCCACTAAAACAATATTCCTCTATTTATTTTTACACAACATATTATCAACACACGTATATCAATCAAAATATCCAAAAATACAATAACTATCCTATTTCCATAGAGCCATCACCATATATATCACTGTGATTCCAATCCAATATAACTATCCTATTTCCATAGAGCCATCACCATATATATCACTGTGATTCCAATCCAATAGAAGCCTCCAGGAAGAAATTTGGTACCTGCAAAACCACAAAAAGTGTCAAAGATCCGCTTCATCTAACTTTTAAATCAGAAATTAAATCTATACTTAATAGATATTAAATAATATATATGTATATATATATATATATACATATTAAAAGGGTAGTCGCTCAATGCACAAAGATATATTTTGATTTCAATATTTTATTTTATTTTTTTGGTCTTTGTCGATATGATAATACGAATTTATGTGGTTTCGAACAATCAATAGTGTTTTTCATAATAAAATATAAATTTGAATATATTATAAAAACTAAAAAATAAATTGAAAAGGTCTTATTTTTTTCCCGTAATTTCTTTCATTCAAATTTTTATTAGAATTTAATTTAGATTTAATGACGAATTAATTTATTTTTTGTTTAATAATATAATTTTTATAAAAATAATAACTAATATATTATGTTAGAACTCAATAATTATCTTAATTATATTTTAGATATATTTAAAATGAGAATTTTACCTTTTATTTGATTATATTTGTCGACATTTAATTATAGGAATCTCATTATGGAGCTTAATAGCTTGTAATTATGCATAATTTATTGTAATCTTAAATTTTAAGTAATATATATTAATAAACAATACTTTATGTCTAAAAAGATGTTTTTAAAAGTTTTTATAAAATATTTTATAATATATAGTTTGTGTGTGTGTGTGTGTATATATTATATACTCACCTTTAGCCTTTGACCTACACAAAGGTTGGTATAGCATCTACATCGTAACTTAGATACAATATAAATATAAATAAATATATATATATATATATATATTATACTTAAAGATCGAAAAAGAAGAAGAAAAGTCATGGCCAACAAAAGTGGGACGACTTATATCGTTTACAGTTCACAAGAATCAGCCAAACCTTGACTAGTTCCTGAGCCCGCGGTCTCACCTTGACTGCTACCACCCGGAGGCGACGATGCGTCCAATACCCGTATCCCAAGTCTTCTGCAGTCACTTCCAAGAGCACCTGTTCCAAAAATATGTGTATATATATCAAAGTTTTATTTAAAGATGTTGTGTTTAGGAGCGGGTTTCTATCTTACGCTCAACTAGAACTAGCTAGCGAGTGTTCGAATTCTAGGGGATTCCAACTATGGTTAATCAACAATATTCGTCAAAAGGGTTTTGATCGATGATCTTACAATTGCTAAAGCATGGAAAATGGGAGACGTTCATGAGATTTGTGTATCCGGGATTGCATTCACATGTATGCGTATACGTATGATTCTTGGTGCATCTACCTTCTCCACAATATGTCCAGTAACAAGCTGAAAAATGCCATAATTAAAACAAACGTTAGAATACATCAGCTTTGATTAATGAAAAGTAAACGAATTAAAGTCACGAGGATTACGATCGAAGATAGAACTGTAATTATCAGGGACCGGAGGACTCGGAAGCGGAGCCGGCATGCAAGAGTAATCGAGGGAACCTGCAAGAAAACAAAACCCGTGATTACCAAAATTAGGAGTATTTCAACATATGGTAATGATTTGTGATGAATATATTTTATAGTCAAAAATGGTCATTTTGTTATAAAGATTGCATGATGTTACAGTTGGGAATGACGCAAGGAAGGAATTGAAGATCATCTTCGTTGTCGGAACGAGTCCGCTTCCATCCCGGATCACACTGGCAAACGAAATTAAAGGGCTTGGCAACATCAACCGAGCAGTTTCCTCTTCCGCAGTTGACTTCATCACAGAGTTTATCTGCTCAATCGCATGATTACAATTTATATTAAAATTATTAATATATACACACAAACTAAGCCACCGTAGGTTCCAGTGGCCGGAAAAGAAAAATGGGTGGACTTACCAAAGAAAGGAGAGAGAGAAGGTGACATATTGATATTGAAGTCTCCTAGGCCTTTAACCATGGAAGATAGGAATACAAAAACAAGCAGCATCATGGCACAGGAACAAGTAAGTGAAAATATGAAGGAAGCCATAATGTTTTCTGTTTTGCAAGGAGAGAAGATGTATATCCAGTAGTTGGGACTTCATATATTTATATATGAGTAAACTTCAATTCTGGTCCTTGACGTTTATTGAAAAGTTCGACAATATGACATCAACTTTGATGAGTCTATAAATCTTTCTTATGGTTTTCATTTTGTTCTATAAATGTCCTTCCGTTACTAATTTTGTTTGATTTCTCTTTTGCGTCGAAGGACATTTCACTCTTTTCATCAAAATCTTGAATTTTTTTAAATAACATAAAATTTTATCTTATAATATCTATTTAAAATAACAAATTTTAGATTAAGAGAGAAATTTTATAGTAAAATAAAATACAAAATATAAAAAATATTATGCTACTTTTTAAAATTAAATTAAACTTTTTTGATGAAAATACTAAAATGCCCCTTGCTCTAATAGTTGGTCATTTGAAGAGTTTTCTCACACATGTCATGGCAAAATTGAATCGGTTGCTTGGGAACCGAATCGGTTACATGGAAAACCTAATCGCCTAAGCTTTTGTGACATCATCGGGGCATAACTCATAACCCAAGCCCATTACCGTTTTGGGCGGAACAAATCAAATGATGGATACGCAAGCATGATAATTTATATGATGTTCAATCAAATTTGTTGAATAAGTAATATTATCATATAAATTAAAATTCTCTTGATCAATGGAGGAACAATATCACCATTTTTATTCAATCAGATTAGTGACCATTTGTCTCTCATCCTACGGGCGACACGAGAGGTCACAGACAGGTATCGATCATCAAGTGATCGATCTGACATAGGAGACCACATAAGTAGCAGCTCCTTTGAAACGGTTTCCTTTTTACGCTTCAAAAACCTTCTAGAGAGAGAGATTTTGCTCCAACTCCTGCCTTTTTCTTAAGAATCTGCAAATCTTCACCAAGCTTTTGTGATAATCAGATCCTGATCATCACCTAAGGTAATTAATACGTGATTATTTGATATATGAATACGTGTTAGCATGATAAATTGTTATATATTTGATCATGACAGTATGTGAAATTTTATACATAAGTATCATATGCATAATATATATATATATATGTGTGTGTGTGTGTGTATACATGTCATATATGGAATTGGGTGTATGCATATATATATATATATATATATATACACACATACATGGATGATATATGTATGCATGGTGTGTGGTAGCCGCCTTCCCTGTTTGGGAAGGGTATAAAAGAGGTTGAAACCTCCATTTCATTATCTTGCCATTTCTGAACCTCAAGTGAGCGATTTAAGTGAAGAAGAATTGACCGGATTATTTTGATCGGAATTCAAGTTGATATTCAAAAGAATTGCATAAGATGAGTGGTTAAACTATTTTGTATATTTTTATGAAAATTTGCATAAACTGTTTCATATGAACTTTCATCCTGTTTATGTAAACCGGATACGTTATGAGCGATTTAAATATAAATTGGGTAAAGGTCGAGCGGTTTAGACATAAACCGGTCAAGGGATAAGCGGTTTTGTCTTAAACCAGACAAGGCTTGGTCGATCTAGATGTAAACCGGACATAAGCTCACCCGGTTTAAAGATAATCCGATCAAGAGTTGACCGATTTATATGTTGAGCGATTTATGGAACTTTGACTTATAATTATGAGTTTAAATCGAAGAAATATGAATACGACTATGAGTTGACCGGATTGTTAAATCAGACAAAACACGAATAGTGTTGTCCGGATTGGTAATCCGGACAAAGTGTTGATAATTTAGTCTAAGTATTAAATCAGACATAATATGAAGTGTTGTCCGGATTGCTAATCCGGCCAAGGTTTGACCGGATTGTACTTTGTAACAACTCTGCACTTTTGGATTTTCAGTTTAGAACCTTATTACGGGATCTTTATTTGAAAACTAAGTCTTTTAGGGTTAGCCTTATCCAGAATAGGATCCTGAAGAGGTCGTCTAAAAGACCAGAGGATAGAACAACCAGAGGCTCTAGTCTGTACTAACACAGAGGCTCTGGTGACAGCTACAGAGGCTCTGGCGTCTCTTCACAGAGACTCTGGTGTCTCTTCATAGATGCTCTAGTGTCTCTTCACAGAGGCTCTGGCGTCTCTTCACAGAGACTCTGGTGTCTCTTCATAGATGCTCTAGTGTCTCTTCACAGAGACTCTGGTGTCTCTTCATAGATGCTCTGGTGTCTTTTCACAGAGGCTCTGGTTCTTCTTACAGAGGCGCTGGTCGCCCATACTTGATCGATTCAGCACAGCAGCTGGTCTTTTTCCAGACTTGGACGTTTTGGCACAACATCA